ATCACGCACACTCAAAAAAAAAAAAATAAAATAAAATAAAAAATCACGCACACTCAAAAAATGTCACACTACTAAAATGTCACACACGCACACAAATGTTAACTTTCTCGCACTAACAGTACTGTACTAACGCACACAATTATGCCAGACTCCATGGGTTCCACCCATGGAGTCTGGCCAAGCTCAGCCCGAAGTGGAGATGCGGGTTCAAGAAAGATATATTTTTAAAATTGCTAAAAAAAAAATAAAAAAATGACTTAAAACGGAAAACAAATGAATGTGCCTCATCTCTAGTTATTAGCAGAAAGATGTCAAAGTAATTTTGAGTCACTGACCTGGAAACTATTGAGGAAAACATATTATTTAATATTAAAATTATTTAAAATATATTACTTTAAAATTTAATAGAGGGTATTGTGTCTCATGTAAAAGCATGAATTAGCACTGACAATTACTTGGTCACAATTCAAGGCATTTATTAACATTTGTTTGACAGAAGTGTTTGGTTCGGTAATTTGTTGACAGTCCCTAAGTGAACCTTCGTGCGCTTGGGCGGGGAGCCGTGGAGAACGACTGGCCGACAGTAGCGTTCATAAATCGGATCAACGTTGAGCTAAACACTGGTTACTCCTCGAAGCTCGGACCGGGAACGATGGAGAACGACTGGCCAACATTAGCGTTCATAAATCGTATCAATCTTGAGCTAAATACCACTTGCACCATGGAGCTTCAAAATCCAACTTGAAGCTAACTTCACAGTTATGAGAGGCTCCAAGGGTCGAGTGTGCGTGAATTTTTGGTAGTGTGTGAGAGACAAAACATAGATTTTGTCCTAAACGGCCCCTCATTATTATTGTTTCAAACACTGGAAATGTGGGGGTGTTAGAGTAGTTCGAAAATACAGAAATATTTACTGTTTACTAGGATGTTCCTGGAGTTTTTTTATTTATTTATTTTCAAAAATGCCTACATTGAACTCATCTAACATTTGTATATAAAAGAGCTTGAGTTACATGTAATGTCATCCCTGGAGGAGATGGATTATTTTTCTTTTAATGTCACAGCAAATAAAACATGTACAAATGTTAAAAGGGGCAACATTTGTTGGGGGAAAAAACATTGCACTTATGAATAGAGCCACAGGGATAGTTTTATTGAAAACTTGCAAAAACCTCAGTGCTAAATAACTTTTGCTGGATTAAGGGTGATGCTGGGGGACGATATATATTATTCTGGACAAAACAGGGCTTGTCATCATTAGAGGTAGTTTCTATTCAGATACTGAGAAGAGATTCTGATGAGTGGTAACCCCGTATGGCCAAACTCCCTTCAAGATGCCGCTGCAGATCAGGATCTATAACAGACTACGTCCAGAATTTGAGAAGAGATGGAATGGCCTCCCGGTGGTCTTGACCGCCAACCTGAAAACTGGAAACTTGTGGGATCAGCTTGTGTGCTGCTGCTTGTGACTGAGTGACCTGATTTGGAACAAATGGTGGTTGCAGATTTAGAGGACAATTTAGCGACTTGTGACCAAACTGGTGAAGAAGAGGAAACAGATAGTTGTGGTTGTGTATGGATCTCCCACAGATCAACAAAGTTCCTTTTTAAAAAAAAAAAAAAAAAAAAAAAAGTTTATTTCATATATCTTGTTTCTTCAGATTCGATCAGTTCCAGACATACGACACTAAACAAGAGTTCATTACAATAAAATGTTTGGAAACGGCAGAGAGCGCAGGTTTGGAATAACTAACATTCTTCAACCAGTTTCCTTCAAATGTTGCACAATTCAGTTAAAGATAAGCAAACGAAGGGAACGATAAAAAAAATACTGCAAAAAAATAAACTTCCCCTTCTTTCGCAGCAAATTCATTCTAGAGTCTTTATATAACTTTCTTTATTCTTTTTTCGGGTAAATCTGAAAGTATAGATTTACTACCGTTGAAGTATTGATGACTGTCTTTCCTTGCCTTCTGCCTGTTTGTGGATCATCTTTGCACTATAGAGCAAACATTATTTTTAAACAATTATAATTTTTTGCTTTATAACTTTATTAATATGTATCATACATAAATATGCAGCAGAATAATTTCAACTATGGGACAAAGGGACTAAATGCAAGCTTCAATAAAGTTGGGAGAATGTTTGTAAAGTCCGTTGTTGTCACGTAAAGGTTGACATAAAATCATAACTATACAAATACATATTTCAACAGACATAAATTTAAAATAAGAAACTACAAACCTGTGTGGAAGTCCGAAAGCTCAAACCTTAGAAACCTTAATAGACCTAAAAAAGAAAAGTGCAAGCATAGGTTGAATCAAATGTTTTTCTTCCGATTTACACCGATAAAGGTTCTGACGTCTAAAGTCTAAAGAATTAACTTTTAAAACCTAATGACCAACAAACCTTCGTGTTTTGCAGATTTTGCTCCAAACAGTTTTCCATGCCGCTGCTCGCAGTGCGGGACTCGCCCACAGGTAAAGAGACGGAGTGCAAAGCGTGTTGCTCCTGGACAGGATTTTAATAGGATTGTGTGCATCGTTCCTAAAAATAACGTACTTCCCAGTCAGTGCTGACAGGACGACGTAGAGCATGCTTGGGCCCCAGAAGAGCAGGAAAAACACATCCACCACTATTATGATCAACAGAGACTCTTTCTTACTGTCCCTCTCCGGGCCAGGAGGATCTCGGAGAAGCTGGAATCTGATCACGAAAAAGAGCTTAATAGTCATAGACACTTTGGCGATAATAATTACAAAGACGCATATTCTAACATAAACTGCAATGTCCACAGCTTTCCACCATGGGAGCATGCGCTGGGCGAGCAAAATGCCGTAACAATGAATCCAACTATAAATAATCACACATACAACAGCTTTGGTGGAGATAAAACGATCATAAAAGAACGGATGGCAAACAGCAAAATACCGTTCAATCTGGGCGAATAGAAACGTCATGATATTAATCCCTAGTAGAGAGGGTAAAAAATAAAAAGTCCAGTTTTTGACAGGATATTCTTCCTTCACATCGAAAAGAAACTGATAGAAAATGCCAAAGCCGGACAGTGTGTCAGAAATGCTGGTGTTCAGCATAAATAGAAAGCGGTACTGTACTAAAAGAGCCCGGGTGGAAATGATGCCGCACACCACCGAACCCGCTACGAGAACAGTGCTGACCCCAGCCATGATGTGGAAAATGAAGAGAAAATAGTCTCCTGGAGAGGTAAAGTCAACACACAGAGGAACCAAAGTGAAGTTGGTGGACATGATGGGAAGGTGCAGTGGAAGCAGCTCAGTACGTCTGCCACCAAAACAAACCATCCAGTCTGTTTTAAAGGCTTTGTTCCACATCGAATGAATACTCTACATACTGGTGTTAATGGATTGGACGGAGTTTTGATGACTTCATCCCCCTCCCATTACTTATCATAACTCATGCATTAGATTGATGATGTAATTTTATTGCAACTTTCTTAGTTTTGGGTGAAAAGAATCTTCAGAAATCCATGATTAGGCTGCTATCCAAGGTGCTGAAAATGCGGATAATTGGCTGTAATGACAACCGGTGTTTGAGCCTCGTATCGGTTGGTTTTGTGTTTTGTGTTTCAAAGCTTTGAAAGCTGGATGAGGCCAATGTTATTCGGTTTTCAAAACGACAGGATGTGCACAATTATTACGCGAAGTTCGGGCTTGGAGTCTTATTTGATCAAACATGTTTTTTTTTTTATGTTTCGTATTCATACAATAAAATCAAAAGAATATTTGGAAGACAATCGTCATTATAGCGTTTTTTATTGGCTGTCTATAAACCAAACCACTGTACAATTGTGTTGAACAGCAGTCCTTCGGCATTACATGTCCGACAGATTATCGCTCCTTAAACTCAGGTGTATCAGTGAGTTTTCAGAGTTATGAAAAGCACTTTTATGGCAATTATTTCCCATGATTCATTAAAAATAATTAGCTAACAGAAAAAAATGTGCTTAACCATGATATAAACACAGCTTTATAACACAATTTATCAAAGAAAAAAAATGTTAAATAGGCTCTTATGGTACGAAATGTTCGGGGTTTTTTTGTTTTGTTTTGTTTTGTTTTGTTTTTTATTGGTAGTAAAAAGCAAGTTTTCTGTAGGGAACAGTTGCCATAAAGATTGTTTTAAATAAATAAATAAATAAATAAATAGAGCAAACGTCGTCATCACTGGACCTTTTGCTCTTACATTATGTCCAAAGTTTCCTTCATGTTGTTTTCATGACCTGACTATTTGAAAGAAAGCAATTTTTTGATTTATAAGGCACCTTTCAAGATATAGAGCACAAGGGGGGGGGGGGAACAAACTACACATTCAACATCAGTGAATCGAAATAGTTAATACTTCCAGTGACAAAAACATACCATTTACCAGAGCAATCCAATTTCGACAATAGTATGAAATTTAAAACAAGAAACTAACCTATGTGGAAGTGACATTCGATATCTTAGTAAACCTAAAAGAGAAAAGGGTAAGCATTAGTGAAGTATTGGTAACACTTTATTTGAAGGGGGGTGAATAAGACTGATATGACACCATCATAAACATGACATAACACATGTCATGAACATGAATAAGCCTTCATGAATATTTCTGACTGTTGTCATAAAGCGTCATTCGGTAAATTATG